TTACTGTGTCTGTACTAGGTACTGTGCTAAACTCTCAAAATATACTGCCAAATAAGATGTGATCCCTGTTCTCGTAGACTTGCCTGATTTGCATGACTTACATGTAACATGTATAGTTCCATATTTTAATCTTTGCTTATGTAATTCTTTTTTTCAGAAAATCTTTCTGCCTCAGCATATTCAAATTTTACCCATGTTTCAAATCTTGACTATGGTGATAATTTCCAATATGACTGTTCTTCCTGTGCATGTTAGGTCATTTTATTAATCTCTTTTCTCTTAATGGCTATGGCAGCTAATTCATACTATTCACTTATGAGGTTAACTTATAACTAGTAATAAATGCTAATTTTTAACTTGTCATGTATGTATCTTCCCCAGATATCCTATAAGGTTTTGGATGGCTATTTGTCCTCTGCCCCTCACCCCCACTTCCCATGATTCATGACTCTCTCATATACAAAATATACTCCTTTCCTCCCAAGGATCCTGAAAGTCTCATCCCATTATACATCATCTCAGAGTCCAGAATCTCCATACCAAAATCAGATCCAGTGTAGAAGACGCTTCTCAGGTGTAGTTTCTTAAGTACAAACCCTCAAGTACAGGAATATCTTGTTTTATTGTGCTTTACTACATTGTGCTTCACAAATGCTGCATATTTTATAAATTGAAGGCAAGAACCTCCACCAGCAAAATAACTACAACTTGCTTTATTGCGATGTTTGCTTATTGTGGTTGTCTGGAATCAAACCTGCAATGTTTCTGAGGTATGCCTGTATTATAATTCCTCTGAACCTGAAGACCTGTGAACTAAAACAAATTGTCTAGTACCCCGACCTCAACCCCCACACATACCACCTACATACCCAACGTACAATGATGAAATAGTTGTAGGATAATTGCTCTAAACTTTCCTGTTCAAAGGGGGAAAATGAGAAGCAAAAAGGAGTCATTGCTTCATAGTGATTTTAAAATTTGAATGGGCAAACATTGGAGGTTTCTCGATTAGACCTCAAGGCCTGGAGATAATTCTTTAGGGTTCAAGGTTTGTTCTCTGAGCTCTTGGTTCCTCCCTCTGGGTCATCCTTCCTTTTTCATGAAATGTAGCATGTTTTTGCAGCTGAGTAGTTTTCTCAGTCTGCTTTCTGTCAGTATAATTTTGTGGGTCCAGTGTTCCCTTTTCATCTTTTACTGTCACTGTTTCTTTTAGTCCCACTTAGCAGTGTGTTTGCTGATACATGAGGTCTGTCCAGAAGGTATCTAGCCATGTACTATGAAAAATAAAGACATTTATTGAAGAAGATACAACAAGAAACATCGTACATAGGACAATGACAGCTCAGTCTCCTTCAAAGTAAGGCACCTTGGGACCTCATACAGCTCTCCCATTCACCATGAACTGCCCTGTTATATTTTTCTGAGTTTCATCAATGGTTTGAAATCTCTTTCCTTTCAAAGTTTATTTTAGTTTTGGGAAAAGCCAGAAGTTGCAGGACACCAAATCTGGGCAGTTAGTGGGGCTGAGTCACCAGGGTGATTTGATGTTTTACAAAAAAACTCTACACGAGACATGAGTAGGCTCATTGTCATGATGAAGTTGCCAGTCACCAGTTGCCCATAGCTTCGGCCTTCTGAATCATCTGAGTAGCTTCCATGGAGGAATGTTCTAGCTTTATGTAAAATTTGATGCAGGTTCATTGCTCTACTTGCTCAGTCATTTTGATTGTGACAGTCACACAGAACACACACACTCAACAGCATTGACTGCTCCCACTGACTAGTACAGTGAAGTCATCATTGTTCACACAAGCACATCACAGTCCACTCCTTGGCTGCCAGGTTACATTGATGTCATGCAAACCATTCTTGCTATATTAAGAATGGCTGGACTTTTCTCGGATAGACCTTGTACTTGTGTCAAAAATTTTGTCAGCCTCCTGTGAATCATATTGGGGTTTATTGCGCTAGGTAAACACTACAACTAAGAATTTTTTGAAAATCTGGGCTTCAGCAATTCCACTGTTAGGAGTATGTCCTAAGAACCCTGAAACACCAATCCAAAAGAACTTATGCACCCCAATGTTCATAGCACAATTTACAATAGCCAAGAGTTGGAAGCAACCTAGGTGCCCATCAGTAAATGAATGAATCCAAAAACTGTGGTACATGTACACAATGGAATTCTATGCAGCAGAAAGAAAGAAGGAGCTACCACCCTTTGCAACAGCATGGATGGAACTGGAAAGCATTATGCTGAGTGAAATAAGCCAGGCGGTGAAAGACAAATACCATATGATCTCACCTTTAACAGGAAGCTAAACAACAAAACAAGCAAGCAAAATATAACCAAAGACACTGAAATACAGAACAGGTTGACAGGGACCAGAGGGGAGAGAATTTCAGGGGAAAGGGGGAAGGATTCACAGGAACAAGTGTAAAGGACACATAGACAGAAACTAAGGGGGGTGGAAATGGGAGGGAGGTGGGGGGCACTGGGCATGGTGGGCTGGGATGGGAGTAAAAGACAGAAAACTGTACTTGAACAATAATTAAATTTAAAAATGCTCAAAAAATCTGGGCTTATTCAGAGGGCCTTTAGCTTTCTAGAGGCCCTGCTGCTTGATTGAGGATCTATGAAATTTACCCTTATTATTTCTGAAGGACTTTTTGTACAACATTAATACTATGAGGTACCACCCTTGATCTTTCTGGGGTCTTAACAAAAGTTTTATAGCTTTACCCCCTCAGCTTCATTTTCAGGCCATGTGTGGCAGTGCTTGGATTCAAAGTTTGTTTAAAAGCCATTCTCAACCTTAGCATCATTGGCCACCTGAGAGACTGAGAATTTTCAAAAACATTCTAGGCCTGGTTCTTTTTTTAACAGTCCTTTAATTTCTCTATCTTACATTTTACTGTAAGCAACAAAGAAAACAATAGGCATCATCTATAACACTGTGACTTTGCTTAGAAATCTTAGCTAGATCTCAGTTTATTAGGCATATTTCCTACTTCCCACATTATTGAAGGTAAGAGCGTTGCTAACTTTACAGTACTACTGAATAAGTACCTTCCTTCCTCCAATTTCCAAAACTTTTTTCTTACTTCCCTTCACTAGTATGGGCCCTCATGGGGAGCATACTAACAGTCTGTTTAAGGCAATTCAGGCCTTTTCTAGCATGTTCCTCAAAGTCTTTCCGACCTCTACCCATTTGCCAGGTTCCAAAGCTACTCACACATTTTTAGATACTTATTATGGCAGCACCCCACTTCCAGCTTTCAACATCTATATTAGTTATCTTTTTGTGTGTTACAAATTACCCCAGAATGCAGTAGCTGAAAACAACAAACGGTTATTGCCTTACCATTTGGATGGGTCAAGAATTTCAGTGCAGCTTAACTGGGTCCTCTACCTCAAGAGTCTTCCTGAGGTTGTAATTGGGCTCATTTGAAGGTTCAGCCAAAGGAGAATCTGCTTCTTAGCTTACTTGTCTGGTTGTTGGCAGGATTCAGGTCAAATCCTCTTGGATGGAGGCTTCTTTGAGTTCCCTGCTTTTGGGCCTCTTTCGTAGGGTAGTTAACAAATGCCTAAGCTGGCTTCCATCACAGCAAAAGATGGCTAGTAAGACAGAAGCCAGAATCTTGTTGTAACCTAATCTTGAAAGTAACATCTCATCACTTTTGCCCAATTTTCTTTGTCAAAAGAAAATCATTAGGTCTAGCCTGCACATTAGAGGAGGAGGTTACACAAGGACTTGAGGCGCAGGGATCATTGTAAGTCATCTAAGTAGCTGTATGATCTTGAGTCACTATTTGCATGTGATGGTGAATCTATATTTACTGGATTTGAAACTAGAAGAGAATGTCTAGAACATAGCAATAAAATAATATTTACATATTTAACAGTTTCTGTACAACTTTATAACTTACTGAGACTTGAAAATAATTTTTTGAACTTTACACAAACCAAGTTCTGTTCCTACACAAATGTACCCACTATTATACTCACATGAAGTATGATGGAATGTAAGAGTTTTAAGAAATTTTTATAATAACACATTTTAACTTGAACAAATGAATCATGTGCCCATGAAATGAAATAAATGGGTTTACTTAATATAGATTAATTTTAAGATAATAATTCCTTTTTAGTCTGGTTTTGAAATCGTGGTAGAAGAGGTAATATTGCTTACACCTTTAGTATAGTAAATATTGGTAGAATGGCTCAGAGTAGTTATACATAGAAACACACATATGAAGAAATAGCCTACTATTTTTGGTTTGGAGGAGAGGAACTAGGAAGAATGGTTACAATATTCCTTATTTGTCCTGGAAAATATATTTCCTTTGAAACATGGAAACCTTTGAAGCTTTTTAATTTGCTGGTCATATTTCAATGTGTTCATTATTCTTGCTCCAAAACTATTTAACTCAGCACACAAACCACTTTAATCTAACATATAGGCATAGCATACTGGCTTGAAAAATAATAGTATTTTTTTCTCATAGATTATTTTAGTATTACTTGGTTCAAAACTTGGCTTTGTGTAGTCTGATAAATACAGTGGTGTTTAGGTTAAAAATACATAGTCAGTCCATCTAAGTGATTTTTTTCATTTGTGGATTTTAGAAGTATGATGTTTCTTCCATGTTTCCCAAAATGTATGGTGGTATGTTTTGTAGTAATACTATAAAAGTTTAAGGTGCAGTGGAGGCAGAGAGTGTGTATAGATGCCTGAAGCTATTTATTTCAGAATTGCAGTTAAATACCTGATTGGTATTTGGTACTATGGAAAATTGCCAACAGCAAAAACAATATTATTAAATAACATTGTGACTCTCCAATCATGTTGTAGAATGCCATGTAACACAGTTCCTTTGTAGATTATTCCTAATATATTGATTTATATATACAATTATTTTTATATATTTATATAAATTTTTATGTATATGTAAATTATATATATAAAAATATATAATTTTTTTCTTCTCTTTTACAGGAAATATAACATTACAAAGCAAGAAGGGTAACATTACAGTAGGTATGTGCTTATGTACTAGTTGGTAAATTTTGCATGATTTTTAAATAACTATGTTTGTGATATCTTGTTAGGTTAAATAAAGTCTACAATTTAGCTGATGACTTGGTGGGATCCTGATATGTAAATAAGAAATAGGCAGGCCCAATGTATGAATATGTGAAATTATTTCTGGAAATTCATTGGTTCATCATCCTAAAAATATTGTATAATTATAGATTTGGCCTCAATCAGAATAGGGTTAGAATTCTGATTTCACCACTTTTTATACATGGGCAAATTATCTAACTTCTCTGTGCCTCAGTTTCCACATCTGAAATGTTGAAATAATAAGTACCTACCATAGGGTTGTTATAAGGATTAAACAAGGTTTTATATGTATATGTGTGTGTGTGTATTTACCATATATCTGACATATGGTAAAAAATTCAATACATAATAGCCATCTTCATTATTATTATTGTTCTAATTCTAGGCCAGAACTAAGAGTGACCAATGGTACTTTAGATCTAATCACAATATGTGATGCTAGGCCTGCTGGAGGAAAAAGTTAGATTTGGGGGCTGTCCAACCTGCGGCACATGGAGTGTATGCAGCCCAGGTGGGCTATGAATGCCGCCCAACACAAAATCATAAATTTATTTAAAACATTATGAGATTTTTTTTGTGTGATTATGTGTCACATTGTGTTTAATGTGTGGCCCGAGACAACTCTTCTTCCATTGTGGCCCAGAGATGCCAAAAGGTTGGATACCCCTGGAGCTTTTCTCTATCCCAAGTAGCGTCTATTTTCCTATTAGGTGAAGGCACACTCTGAGCTCTCTGAGTGGTGGTGGTTTTTTAATCCTTAGAAAGTAGGGATCAGGGATGAGAAACTGGGATCTTTGTTGGGGAGCTGTGGCTTGTAGCCAGTATGAATGCCCAGGACCTCCTTTTTGACATTTTACATTTTTCCTTTCTTTGTGCTGATTGAAATATTGAATTTGTCCAATCATCTTTTTCACTATCACTTAAGGATTTTTTTGGCTTAAAGTACATATCCTTCTTTTAAGTTTTCTAGAGATTTTAACTTTTATGTTGAATGGGGGATAAATAGAAGATAAAGACTTCCTCAGTGATAATTATAAATTATTTTAACTAAGAGGTGATAGAAGGACTTACCTATGTTCCAGTGATAAATCAAGATTTACTGTTGACTTTTCAGGCCATTTCATCAGAGGATGCATCAGGGAATAGTAAGAGAAGTTTCTAGATTGAACAAAAAGGTACACTGGCAAGAAGCTGAGCTAGCTGGGGAGAAGTCCTAGATATGTGTAGGGTTTATAGCAGTACGGGAAGGGGGGAAAAGGAGAGGAATATTTTAAATTGAAAGGCACAGGGAGTTTCACTGCCCACTACCAGCCCTTTAAGCAAAATGTGAACTCATGGAATTCATATAAATATGATATAATAATCCTAGTGTTATTCTTGGGTAGAAATGTGGAAACACAATGGGAAAACCATTCTCTCTAAAATTGAAAATGAATGGTAATTTATACATACTGGAAAGTAATAGTAATAGCAAGGATGAAATATACAATAATTTACATCTTGGAATATGGTTTAATACTTTGTATAAGTGATTAATATTATGCATTCTTATTAATTTTCCCTGTAAACATTCTTCTTTTCCCACTATTAAGTATTAGAGGGATTTTAAGGTCAGGTATTTTATTTTTCTTATATAAATTTGTCTACTCAGAAAATTACCTGAGCCCAGAGTTAAGAAATATCTTATAGGTTAGATATCCATCTGTTATATCTGTATCAAATAGATGTGGATAGGCCAGAATTATAAAATATTAATGATCCTTTATAATTTTCTTTAGCAAAACAAATTACAGTTTTATGTTGTTTTTAAAAATACTTTAAAAAGTCAAGTTGTTAAAAATATACAGATATGTAAAGGTAAATAAAAGTTGGTTTTCTTGTTTTATAAATATCATTGGTAAATTTTGAGTTTTATGTTAGAAGAATCAAAATAAAGGAAAAAGTATGCTTTTGTAAAATTACCATGTATTGATCTGTGATAGTGTGGAAAAACATGGACTTTAGAAGTAGATTTGACTGTGAATTTTGGTATTACCACCTAGCAGCTGTGTGACTTTCAACAGATTACTAAATCTCTTCAAGTGTTCATTTTTATGCATAACATGGATACCACCCATATAACACAAGGTTGTTGAGAAATTAAATAAAGTATGCAAAATATAGCCCAATGCATGTTAGCCTTTCAGTAAACTATCTCTTTTCTTTTTCAGTTTATTATCTATAATACAGAACCATTAGTCAAACTATTTTTTTAAGATTTTATGTATCCCCACTTTTTTAGGGAGAGGGGATAGGAACAAGACAGAGAGAAATGTCAATGAAATCACAGTATGTTTTAACCTTAATTATAAGGGAAGTATTCATCTTATATGTTCCTTTAACTCTATGAATATCTATATTAAGACTTTGGAGGAAAGGAAGATACAAATTATTTTATTGTTTATTGGTTTCAATAAACAAAAAAATTGGTTAAAATTGGTTTCAACTGTTAACATTTGAAAACAATAAGACTGGGGGGGTAATTAGTCAACATATTTACTGAGTGCCTACTCTATATCAGGAGCTCTTAGGTACTGAGGATTAAATTGGTCAACAAGACATAGTCTCCATGTTCAGCCTAGGACTGAGAAGAAAATAAGTATGTAAATAAGAAAGATCATTTCAGATAGAGCAATGAATAAATAAGAGAGGGTAATGGGATAGAGAGTGGGTAAAAATAGCTGTTTTATTTAACAATCAGGAGGGTCTGGAGAAGGTATATTTGAACTAAGGCCAGAATAATGGGAAAGAATATATAAAATTCTAGAATTGAGCTTCCCAGATAGAGGAACAATCAGTGCAAGTCCTGAAAATGGAATGAGGTTACCATTTTTGAAGTATAGAAAGCAAACTTGTGGAGAAAGGTTGGAGACGAGCAAAGCAAGGGCTAAGATCATCAGGCCTTGTAGCCATGGTAAGAATGGGGACTTTATTCCAACTACACCAGGGTGTTGGGGTGGTAATAAAGAATTTATTATTTTTCTCTTATTTTTATTTATTCTGTTACAGTTGTCCTAATTTTTTTCTTTTTGACTTCCTCCACCCAGCCCACCTCAAACTCCCACAGATGTTCATGGGTCATTCATACATGTTCTTTGACCAATCTCTCCCCCTTCTTTCCATAATTTATATTTTATTTTATTTTTTAATACATTTTATTGATTATGCCATTACAGTTGTCCTATTTCCCCCCTTCATTCCCTCCACCCTGCACACCCCTCCCTCACCACTCCCCCCCTTTAGTTTATGTCCATGTGTCATAAGCTCTTTAGATTCCATATTTCCCATACTATTCTTGACCTGCCCCCTGTCTATTTTCTATCTACCATCTATGCTACTTATCCTCTGTACCTTTTCCCCACTTCTCCTCCTACTCCCCTGTTGCTAACCCTCCATGTGATCTCCATTTCTATGGTTCTGCTCCTGATCTAGCTGTCCTCTTAGATTGCTTTTGTTTTAGGTGTGGTTGTTAATAACTGAGTTTGCTGTCCTTTCACTGTTCATATTTTTCATCTTTTTTTTCTTAGGTAAGTCCCTTTAACATTTCATATAATAAGGGCTTGATGATGATGAACTCCTTGAACTTGACCTTATCTGAGAAGCACTCTATCTACCCCTCCACTCCAAATGAAAGCTTTGCTGGATAGAGTAATTTTGGATGTAGGTCTTTGGATTTCATCAGTTGGAATACTTCTTTCCAGCCCCTTCTTGCCTGTAAGGTCTCTTTTGTGAAATCCACTGACAGTCTGATGGGAACTCCTTTGTAGGTGACTGTCCCCTTATCTCTTGCTGCTTCTAGGATTCTGTCCTTCATTTTAATCTCGGCTAATGTAATGATGATGTGCCTTGGTGTGTTCCTTCTTGGGTCCAACTTCTTTGGGACTCTCTGAGCTTCCTGGATTTCCTGGAAGTCTATTTCCTTTGCCAGATTGGGGAAGTTCTCCTTTATTATTTGTTCAAACAAGTTTTCCACTGGTGGCTGTTCCTCTTCCCCTTCTGGTACCCCTATAATTCGGATGTTGGAACATTTAAAGATGTCCTGGAGGTTCCTAAGTCTCTCCTCATTTTTTGAATTCTCGTTTCTTCATATTTTTCTGTTTGGTCATTTTTTTCTTCCTTCTGGTCCACTTGATTGATTTGAGTCCCAGTTTCCTTTCCATCACTATTGGTTTCCTGTGCATTTCTCTTCATTTCAATTAGTTCAGCCTTCATTGGTTCGTCTAATTTGTGACTAAAATCAAGCAGTTCTATGAGCATCCTGATCACCAGTGTTTTGAACTGTGCATCTGATAGGTTGGCTATATCTTGGCCACTTAGAAGTATTGGCTCTGGGCCTTTGAGCTCTTCTTGAGCCATAATGTTTTGGTCAGTTTGTGCCTGTTATGTATGAGGGGCGGAGCCTTAGATGTTCACCAGGGTGGGGCGACTCAGTTGCAGGGTCGTGATGCTGTATGTGGGGGGGGAGGGTCAGAGAGGGGCAGTGGTGTTTGTTCCACTCTCTCTTGGATTTCAGTCCCCTCTGCTGCTTTCAGCAAGCAAACCGGGCCTCCCTGGTGCCGACTCCTGGGTGTGTGAGCTTGTGTACCCTCCAAGACCCTGTGGGTCTCTCGAACAAACTCTGAGCCTGGGAGCTTCTCCCAGCACCTCAACCCCAAAAGTTTTTCCAATTGTTGCTTTTAGACTTTAACTCCTGGCACTGGGGCCCTAGCTTGTGCAGTCTGTCTCCGTGCTTGATCCTTCGCCTGGTTTATCTGCGCGTGAATGTGTGACTGCAGTCAGCCAGCCACCTTGCACTTCCACTGGGTCTGCCCATTGCCACCCCGCACCTGGGATCTGCCAACTGCCCCCTGCGCTCCTGGGTCGGTCTGGCCAAT